ACATCAGAGACAGCCTTCTTATTTTTAATACCAGAACTCAGTTATATCACTAAACTATGAAAATAACTGCATATTTGTTTTCACGTTACACTTTTTTTTTAATGCACAGCAGCATTTTAAAATTACAAACTGCTGCAAAGCGCATACATTATGTAGACCCATTGCATAAAACATTGTAAGTTAAATTAATTACACTTCATAAGTATTGATTTGAATTACAAACTGAGGAAAACAATTACACAACGAGGTACATTTTATGTGACCTGTCAATGGCTCCTAGACGAAATTTTGACATCGTTGAAATGACAGTAATTTTGAAAAACAAAGCACTTTTCGAAAGTTATCGAAAACAACGACGATCGCTCTTGCTCGCCAAGCACGCCATTCATACTGGTAACGCGTTCACAATATTTAGAAACAAATAAAAAAAATAAGCAAAATAACTTACTTGGGGTAGCCAGCTGTAACCCAGCATGACCGAATCAGCCGTGCCACGACTGCCCAAGACCGTCTCCACCCTCCACACAACAATCGGACACTCTCCTTGATACGCAGGAGCGCCTTTGCATAACCCAGAGTGCATCCACAGACCCACACTTTGTCCGCACATTCTCTGCCGTCCATGCCAAGCGAGCGGATAATGAACTTGGAGGCTTTATCTGAAGTCAACGAATTGTAAGAAAAGGCGGCTAAAACAACGAAAGCTACAGGGCTAATTACCGACATTCTTGGTCGCATTACGAGAGTAGCGCTGGGCAGAGAGCCACCCCGCTCTGCTCTGATCCCCTCTGCTATTCTGTAATTCTTTTAGTGAGGTCAAGGGACCAGCTGGATAATTACATCGACGACCGGGGATGCGGTGCCGGACTACCACCACCACCGCGTGCGCACACCCAGCGAACGAATTCCACAAACGGCGGGCACCTTGTGGCTAAACATGCGCCCCTGGGTTTCTGACCTTTCAACTCGCGTGCGTGCTTCGCTGCTTATGCGTCGAGACATTTGTGAATTCACAACGCAAGCTCTTTAGAAGCGTTTTACTGCGTCACGGTGGCGAGATGTTAACTACCTCGCCTAGTACACAGGATTTCCTGGGTTCGATCTCGACCCTGACCCCTGCTGTATATTTGGATTTTGCGCGTTTCTCTCCATCGTCACGTGCAATTTTCGGTTTTCCCCTCCACATTTAGAATCAACGTGCGTTTAGAGTATTTGGCTGCTATACATCCCCACGTGATGATAAGGAACTTTGCTGAGCTATCATGTGTGGCCAGGTCGCTTCTGAAAAAAATATATATAGCTCAGTGGTCATTACCTAATAGAATACAAAATTGTATCTATATTATAGTTTATAGTACTCTGCCTAATACCTCTTTTCCACTGTACAACCAAGCCGCGCTGGGGCCTTGACAAGACAGGGCTCAGTCGGCGCCTGGTTGTTTTTCCACTGCAGAAGCTGAGCCGTGCCACTGACACACGCAATGACTCAACCGGTGACGTTTGGTTTGAGCTGTTGCACAATCTCACGTCACGTGCATCATTAGCCCCGCCCCTGGCCCTGCTTGGCCAAGAGCCAAATTCAGATGTCTTGTGAGGACAGTGAATCACGGAGTTTGTTTTCAGCTCGATATAGATAATGTCGAGTAGAAAAAAAAACATGTACGTGAGGGCCGCCACACTACCCGTATAGGGTCGCCCACACCAATCGGATGCTCGGTGAGAGGTGAGACAAACAGTGTCCTCCTTGAGGCCTTCATCCAGCGGTGGACATCTAATTAGCTGACGATGATGACGTGAGAAGGAATGGCTGGTGAAAACCCTCTGGACTAAACCTGCCAGGCAGCGCTTGCCCATATTCGCGGCAATGTTTTATTTTTTTGACGGGCCTCTAGGAATGCCACGCTGAATGAGATGCCTCGTTTCTCCCGGGCAAAATTCTCACGCCCTTAGGACGAGGCGTTTCTGCTGCACGATCGCTGTTAACTTGAGCCTGGCTCCTCTGACCGTGCGTCTCTCATGCCCACGTTGGCGTGGCAAATTTGTTTCTGCCCCCCAATCTCCCCCCCCCAAGTGCCCCCATGGCTTCATATCAATCGAGGCAGGCAGAGTGAGCTTCAAACGTTTTTCTGTGTGTGGTGGTATGCACGGCCCAGCTTTGTCAATTCACTGCTGTATGAGAGCCTTGCGGGCTGCGAGGAATATTTGTTCATACTTCAGCACGCTGGCCGGTATGGGTTTTGCGAAGGGGAGTGCAGAAAAAAAACTACGGATTCTGCTGCACTGCCCTCTCCTGCCCACGACTCCGACTGCACCTCTCTTTTCTGCGTGGTGGTTACCCATCCAAGCACTATGCAAGCTCAAGCCAGCCGAGCTGATATCGGGCGTATGAAATCCATAGCTGGTGGACCATTTCAGGAGTTGCGATGTTGATGATGATGTGATACCACCAAACCTGCTGGGCTGCAAGGTGTCCAGGAGATGGCAGCACAGCAAGCAGGTTCCTGAATCATCTTCTTGGTTCTTTTGGTAAAGTCACGTAGAAGGGAAATAATAAAATAATATAAATAAAACATAATAAAATAATTCTCACGACGTTTCGGCCACAACGCAAGCAGCCGTCCTCAGGTGAAGAACAGGTCTGTCGGAAAGACATCGTCTTTCCGACAAACCTGTTCTTCACGCAATGACTCAACCGGTGACGTCGTCATTGTCAGCCACCTGTTCTTCACCTGAGGATGGCTGCTTGCATTGTGGCCGAAACGTCGTGAGAATTATTTTATTATGTTTTATTTATATTATTTTATTATTTCCCTTCTACGTGACTTTACCGAAAGAACCAAGAAGATGAATCCCTGCAGTCACGAAAGCTTTAAATCGAAGGTTCCTGGATGTTTCGTTGTGTTGATATGAAGTGTCATGCTGTTGTATTTTGTGGGTTTGATGCAGACACTACTGTTCCCTCTCAAGTGTACAACACTGAAAATTATATTGTGAATACATCCTTATGCAGGACTCCGTAGACAGGGTCTTGAAACGAAGCGAGGCCTTCATGGATAATTTACAGCCATTTTGTTCATCCCCTGAAAGCCTCCCCCACAACCATCTCGGTCACGTGGGTCATGTGACCATACTTCACCACGCTGCTCAGTGCGGGTTGTGAAGAGGTGCTCAGGACCAGTTTAGATATCACTCGCCACTGATGTTTAGCCACGGTCAGGAATGAATTGTACTGCAGTATTTTTTTCCTAGTGCTTTGTATTGCTATACGGTGACCACGTAGAAATGAAAACGATTGCAATTTACCACTCGTAGTCCACGCTTCTCAAAGGTGTTTTGAAATCGCTCGTGCAAATTGCTTCCATTGAGCCAACCTCACGATCAGCAGCCTTCATTTCAACAGACGACGCCGCCTCTCTCTATGACAGTGTTTTTCTTCATTGCAAGGCCCGCGGACCACTGGCGGCCCCTGGTGGCCTTTAGTGCGGCCCCCTGACGTGCGCCGCCCGACAATACACAACACGTGACAAACACCACCCCTTGTAGGTGGGAGAGGCGGCCCTCACAGTGACGGCGAAAGTGGCCCCCCTCTCTGAAAATTAGTGAAGAACACTGTTCTATTAGAAGCAAGAATATATGTTTCAGGGAGAGCGCGAGGCTCAGCACTCCGACTGTGCGAATGCGGCGACGAGACAGGCTTTTATTATAGCACAGCACAGGCTTCTTTCTTCGACCGCGCTCGCCAGCTTGTTTGAACTCTGAAAGAGATCTTCATTTTCTTCAAGTAGAGTAAACACAACCCAGAGTCGAGGACGCACAGCGCAGAGTTGAGGAAACACAACGCATGGTAGAAGGAACTCAACGGAGAGTGTGCTACCGATTGTTAACACTGAATTCAATGGTAACAGCTCCTGTGGCCTCAGCAAGATCGTGGCCAGAAAGGCGAGACACAGTGAGACCAATGTATTTGGAGGGTGACTGCCTCCAACTGCCCAATAGCATCCTTTACAAGGATTCTGGATTCTCCACAGAGGCTGCTCTAAACACTGCTGGTGCCAGTCATTGGCAAGTCCAATAAGCTCCACATCCTTTTGTACTGCATCAGTCCATCTAATCTCTAGTTCAAGCTGCCCCCATTTAGCCCCCTCTATCCAGCCAAACAGAAACTCCTTGGGCATGCGGTGGCTGGCCATGCGGACAACATAACCCGGCCAACACAAGCCCGCCTGCCAGAGGAGCTGACTGATGGTACTGTGTCAGGACCTGCCAAGGATCTGTAAGCTCCTCACACAATTCAGCCGGGTTAACCTAGGGTGGATCGTGGGCAGGTCAACTTGATGTTTCAAGCCATTATTTATGAAGCTCAGTGTCGTCTCCCATGCATTGAGAAGATAGGTTAAGAGGACCCGGAACTTTGTGTGGTGCAAAAGACCAGGCAACTTCCACGCAGCACTACGCAGCCGATGAAAAGAAAATGCTGCTCGACAGATTAAACATGAGATCTCCACTGCCAAAGCGGAGCTGGTCATGAGCACACTGCCCAGGTATGGGAACTCCTCCACTCTCTCCACAATTGCTCAATTGTCACACACTCGCTGTCTGTGCCGGTTGCTGTCCGCTTAACATTTTGAGCCTTTGGGCCTGTGCTCAGCAACTGTGTGTACAAAACAACAACACCAACAACCGCCATTCGCCTCCAAGTGGCGGTGACATCACAACGGGGCTTGTGCCAGGCCATGTCCACTTTAAGGCCACGCGAAGTGTCGAACGCCCACTGGCAGGAGGTCACGGGACACACCCAGGTGCAATGGGTCGACTGACTGAGATAACTGGCCGATGCACCACCTGTGCCCTATACTATGCCAGCAGCAACAACAACAACACACACACACACAATCAAATGCGTTGGCAGCATCATCCCCCGCACGTACGGCCAGCAAAGCAGCCCTCTGTGCATGTGAGCCTGCACGCCACGTGGGGTGGGGGGAGAGGTGGTGCCTTGCCTTTTTCCCTTGCGCGTGGCACAGCGTAGAGGAGGAGGCGGAGGAGGGCATGGTGGTGGCGGACAGCTGAAGGCTGAACTCGAGGCGAGGCGAGGCACGGGCGGGCTTCCCCGGCGACGCGAGCGGCGGCCTCCGTTCTCGCGCACGGCACAGCAGCACCTCCCTGGGCGCATGCAGGAGCACCCGGGGCGCTGCCATTGCCGCTGGGGTCACCCCGACGTCGGGTTCCCTCGCTCGCGGCTTCAGCTCCGAGTCGACGCCGACGCCGCCGACACCGTTGCTGTCGTTGTCATTCGTGTGCATCGCGAGAAGACAAAAGAGAAAGATTCACTACTGACGATGCGCTCCCCAAATTTCACCAGGCTCACTGTTCATGAACTCTTGGAAGTGCTTGCACAAAGGATAGTAACATCTCATCCTGTGTTCTTGGAATCCACCGTGTAGCATTTAACAGGCTGTTGGGGCAAGTGCTGTTAGCGGGTAGCACCTGTGAAGGTCGGCACGGCACACGAGGGGGTGGGGTGGCCAACACCACGCCCAAGCCACCTTTGTCTCCCAAGTGGCGATGTTAATGGTCGTGAGCAGGAATCGAACTCGGGTCGCTGGTTTCGTAGTGGAGTTCCCTAACCATTGTGTTACCGCTCTGCACAGTAATCCACACACACATACGTGCACACACACGCGCGCCAACAGACGGACACACGGGGAGACGCACGTTATACGATGCTATTGTCCACGATTGCAATCCTGTGAGCTTTGCCGAACTGCGAGTGCGTTGTTTCGCGTGCCGGGTTTGTCAATCCGTAGCTGGTACGAGGGGCACCTTTGCACATGCGTGCTGGTGAAGTGGTGAGTGGGCAGAATCGATTCAGAATATCGTTTGCCGCTGTTGTTAGCATTGTCCGGGATTCAAACTCAGGTAACTGGGCTCGTATCTCAGTACACTCTATATTACAACCGCCACTCTATCCCGAAGTTGTTATAAATCTAACAATATTTTAAATAATTTTGTCAATGAATAGCTGGATGAAAGTCTCACAACACTGTGCCAGTCTGCACTAAATTCCACAAAATCATGGTACTGACAGCTAGAATCCTTTAAAAAATGTGCCATTTATTTACCCAGGAATTCTCATTGGGACTCACTCCTCTTTTTCATGAGCATTCTGCTTTAGAATGGTTTCCAAATTCCGTGTTGGCATGTGTTATTAAATTGCTATTCATGCGGCACTTAATCTTTGCTACAGTAGCTCATTTAATATTACACATTTTAACGAGTAGGTCAGGTGAAAATAAAAACACGATTTGGTTTGGCACTGAGAGTATAAGGAGATGGACATTTCTGTATAATTGCCTTCTACAGGTAAAGGTCCCGGTCTACTCAGAATTTAGAATCTCCTACAGAGCAGAACGATCACGGCTGTGATCAGATTAAAAAGTGATCCCACGACTATACGGCTAAAACAACACAATAATAGACCACAGTGTCCGAACATAACGGCCAAACTAATTACTACACGGCAAACCATCTTCCCACACAATGGCCTCCCTTCATAGCCTCGGCAATGTCATGGAGTTGGTCAGCACATTCCCAAAGCAGCCTCCTATCTTATAATTCCCCACCCACAGCTGATTACGACTGTATTGCTACTGTGGGCTATGCAATGCCATAACCCTCTATGCACACTGCTCCAAACTAACCTAGAGTTATCGCGAGTGGTGAATGGTGAAACACGGGTACATGGATTTTATGGAAATGCACGAAACGCTAATGCGAAGTAGCCTCGTGCCATTAGTCAACACGTGTCACTTCAACAACCAGAATGAACGAGGAATTAAATTCATGAATGTTGATCACGCTCAAACAACGCACGTCATAATCCATCACAACTTAACAGAAACGTTCATAAAATCCCACACAATGACTCGCATCCACCACGAATAAGCACTGTAGATGTGCAATACAAAACACCGTGACCACTAAATTAATGACATGGCTGTAATATAAAATGAAAGAATAACAAAGGAGTTCATCAACAGAATATTCTCCATAATGACATGACAAAATTAAGACATTATCCTGCTTCTGCAGTTTCCCTGCTGTGATTGTCTCGCCTGATGACGGTCGCTTGTGTTGCGATCGAAACGTCGTGATCTATTATTTTCTACCTACGTGACTTTACCAAAATAACCAAAGAGTACGAATGAAGGCAGTTTAACTGTGAAAGTCCACAGATATTTTCTTAACACCGACTGGCAGTTACCGAAAAAAGCTCACATCCGAGCTTGTAGGCAGATGAATTAATGCTCAGCTGCTGAAGGAAACACGAGATGAACAAGCAACCGGTCTAAGATAGCAGGAGCGCGAGGCGTAACCAAACGAAACAAACGCTTCGGGCACGAGGCAGCACAAGGGGCTCAGCCTAAATTCATTAAAACTAATTAGGAGATTAAGCAGCTCATGAAAGTGAATGAATTTCTCTCATCTCTATCTCGTCTGTTTCTCTCTTCTCTCATCTCAATGCATCTTTGCTCCTAGTCTACATCCATCATCTCTCTCATTTCACTACATCCATGGCTCATCGGGAAATGTCCGCTCTCATCTCACCGCATCTTCATCTCTTGTCTACAGCTCTTCTGTCATCTCACTCGGAGTTTATGAATCTACAGGGGAGAGGCTCCCAAAATAAAATTGGCTCCTCAAGGGCCACGAATTGGCCAACACCACAGCCGGCCCGAGTTACTCCCCCATGCAATTCAAACAACCACGGTCAAATATGAATTCACCCATCGTCTTACAATTCACACGAGTGCGATGCACGCGTCAGCAAAAAAACACAAACATTCACTTACAGCCAGAAACAATCCCAGGCATCGTGTTCGAACCCCTGCCAGTGCAGCATTGGCACGGACAAGAATCAGCCACGACGGCCTCCCCGGCACCATGGAGTCCAACTCAGAACCCCAGTGCCTCCCCCCCCCGCCCCCCATCGTTATAAGCCGCCAAGCTACAGCGGGGCGTCGACTCATTTCGCCTGCTCAAGGGAAGACGCACGCTTGGGTGCTGATGTGCGGGGAAGGGCTGGCCACGGGGGGGGGGCGGGGATAACGACCGTGTGCAGGAAGCTGAAATCTCGACTCGGAGAAAAATGGAAGGCATCGCAGACAACATCTGCTGGGTCGTTGCAAAACACGCGTCGCGGATTGTACCCATCAGCAGATTTGCCGTGCGTCGAGCGGCGTTGAACGCGATGCGATGAGCCCGTTCCCGGGTCTGTGTTGGAGAGGAGTGCACCATTACGTCGTGGGTAATACCGGCAATCGTCAAGAAAACTTGCCACAAACCCCTTAGGGTTGTCTATTTTAATAGCTAACTTTGACGTATGTACAATCCAAAGCCTGTGACCAAACATATTCACATATTCACTTGAAGATGTTTTCTTGTTCATGTTTTTGTTTTTTGTTTGTTGCGGTTTGCACCCGATTCAAGAGCCGAATGGCTCACAGGGCGATACCTAATAAATGAACTTGAACTTGAAAATGAACTTGAAACCGCCAGGAAATGTGTCCGATTTTGTCAGATTTCGGAAGCTAAGCTAAGCCGGGTGAAGCCAGGATAGAACTTGGATGGGCAAACACCATGCACAACAGGTGTGAAAGACTGCCCAGGCTATTCTGGGGGCAGCAAGCGGCAGCGGCAGTGCACCAAAATCCATTGTAGCAGTGTACAGTACTTCTACGCTACCAATTCTACGCTCCGCCTACACCGGCAACCCGCGCGGACCAGCGTGGTGAAGTATAGTCAGATAACCCCCATGACCCCCATTGCATAAGAGGTCATCAGCAGAGAGTCAAATGAGCTAAAGGGTCAGTGGGTGATGGGAACCCGATTGGGAGAAGAGTCAAATCCTGGGCGTGCAGGCAAGATAGCAGATAAGTGGTGTCAAGTGATGTCAACAGGCGAGGGTTGTGCAGCCGGGGGGGAGCGGTGGTGTAGTGGTTAGCGCGCTGCGCTATGAACCTGGTGACCCGGGTTAGATCGCGTAAATATATAAATGTGTCGTTAAAACCCGCCACCACACATATATTTACGCGATCTAACCCCCACCAAAAAAACCCTCTATTATGTATGATATTGGTCGCGAAAGCCTACGTGTTAAACTGATAACGGATTTTACCGAGTTGTGGCAAAGGGCATGTGTTATTTATGAAACCAGGGGTAGAACGAGGCTGGATATTGTTACCAATACAGAACTGTGAAAAGTGAAGTGTGGATTAACACACGCGCATATAATGGCGCATCCATTCTAGTTTGCCGTGTCAGCGTTTCACAGCGGTTCACGGAAATGCTTAAGTGTGATGTATGAATGTTCAACTTCCTTCGCACCGTACATAGCCAGATGCTCGTTAGGTGAAATGTTTAGAGGTACACATACAAAGATCCCCCCCCCAAGTGTAGCCTTACTAAACTGTTGGGGCAAGTGCTGTTTGTGAGCACCTATTAAGGCCGGCATGGCGCAACGAGGGGGGGAGTCGGTGGCTGGCACCACGTCCCAGCCGTCTTTGTCTCCCCTATCAAGTCAAGCTTATTTATAATTATTATAAGCTTAATTATTTAACCAGGTGAGAACTCAATCGGCACCAGGATGAGTCTCATTTGCAAGAAGTGCCTGGGTTGAGAAAGCAGCAACAACACAGGTCGAGGAGCAGCCTCTCGTCACCGCCTGCTCGCACCGCTTGCTGGCGGAGGTCGTTCCGCCGCTCTCAGAATCAGAATCAGAAAAGTTTGCACAGACAAGGAATTTACTATGGCAGGAAGGTGCATACATTCAACATGTAGGAATCTTAAAAACTTAATTAAGTGGTATACAGTCTAACTATACTAAAATTGCAAAGTCTAACTAATACTAAGGGGCTAAAGTATGTAAAGTTTTGAATAAATATACAACATAAAATGTAAACTAGCCGTAATATACAATCTTAAAATACAAAAATACAAATAGGGTAACATGTTGTAAGTATGGCAAGGTGTAATTTTGTAGATAAAATGTTAAAGTAAGTGTAAAAGTCATTTTAAGCCCTCGTGCGAACTCTGGAGAGCACCGGGTCAACGCTCGCTCGCACGTTGAACCTGCTTTCACGCCGTACGCAGCCACCCGTGCTAGTCCGAGGTGCGAACGCTTCCACGTTGACCAGACGTGTTGGAAGGGATTGGCCGTACCCACACTTTACCCCACCACGCGCCACCCTGCCAATCGCCTAACTGTCGGAAAACCCATT